CTAGATGGCCGCTAGTTTACTTTAAAGCCTTTAAGTCCCCAGACGCTATAGGTCTCGATAGCTGGACACCAATAAACAGCCTTCTTCGCCACACTTACTTATGGACACATTCATCTTCAGCGTTTATGTGGGTAAGGTGATCACACAATGATGTTTTTTGTTCTTTGGTGTCTGCTACCAGATCCCTTCAACACCTCGTGTTCCCACAGGCTTGTGTGCTTCTTCTCTGTGGGCTTTGTTGTTTCCGAGCTAGATGGCCGCTTGTTTGCCTTCAAGCCTGTAAGACCCCAGATGCTGTGTCTTTTGATAGCCGGGCACCATCTGCTTTCTTCACCACATTTGCTTATGCACACGTCTGTCTTCAGCGATCATGTCGGAAGGTGGGTACCATGAAATGACCATTCAGCTGAGCAAGGCATTCTTGTATTAAGGGAATGCGTATGAGGAGGCCCAATGCCCACCTGCCACCCTACTACTAAACCTATAAATATATGCACATAGGTCCATTTCCCCCATAATCTTAAATATATTTATATATGTACATGTCTGTATTTAGGCTTCTATGTTTGCCCTTTGCCTCCTACTCCTTTCCTCTATTTCCTCCTTTCCTCCTGTCCCACTACCATGTTCAGCCTTCATTCTGGTTTCAGTAATTCCTCTCAGTTACCTTGCCCTTGGTCACTCCCTACCAGTCCTCCCATCCCCTCCCTGCCATTGGTTTGGAATCATTCATTGTTCCCTTGTCCCTGGGTTGGCCAACACCTCCTCCCTTCCCCTACCTCCCACACTCTCATGTCCCTCCGGGACCGTTGGTCCCTTTATTTTCCTCTCACATTGTTTGTCCAGCCTCTCTTATCTAGGTGGACCTGCAGATATATTAATATGTGCATAAAATTGGTGATAGCTTTGACAGCACCAAAGTGGCACATAAGAACATGGCGACGATGGCAGCAGGGCCAAGCTAACAAAAAAGCCACTGACATACAAAATTTAAAAGAAGAGAAAAAAACAAAACAAATTGGCAGAAAAAAGAAAAAGACAAAAAAAAAAAAAGCCTGTTGGTAGTTCAAGGTCTGTTTGTTGACCTTTAGGAGTGCTTTCCGGACGAGTCTGATGGGTGCCACGTCCTGGCCCCAAAGTCCATCCTTTGCACTCCCTCAGGACCTCCTTGCTCTGCTTCCCCCACCGCTCCATTGCACGCCCCCAGTGTTTTGCCTCAGTGTGGTGGGGTCAGCTCAGTTGCACATCCCACACTGTGTCTCTGGAGCTATCCCGTGTAGGGCCATGGGTCAGTGCAGGATGTCACATCTCGCCGTGGGGTCGGCTATATGATCCTCTCTGTACATTGGGCCCTCCGAGCTGGGCTATCATCGTCTGAGCTTGGTGGGCCCAGGTGTGCTCTGCTCCGTTCCTCCTTCCTTTGCTTCAGCTCCTTCTGGGTGTGGTGTGGTAGGTCAGTTCCTTTCTCACACCAGACGATCTATTTCCATTTTCTGTGGTACTCCCTTCCATGGTGGAGGTCGGGCTAATTCTGGTTAGGGCCAGCGGCATATGGTCCAGTCTCTTTGTGGATTCCTCCGTGCGTTACGTTGCCCTCCTGGTTTGGCGTGTCCTGGTGGGGTCTGTATGCACGTTCCAGTTCTGTGGGGACACAACCAACTCTCCCCTGGGTGGGTTAGTGCCCTGTTCCTCCTGTGCCCTCAACTCAGTTTCTCCCCACCCCGCTTCTCCCTCCACCTGCCCCCCTTCCCCTTCTTGTAGGACTCTCATGTACCTTCCTAGGTATGGCCTGCCCTACCTCCAACAGTCTATGCTTCCACCCATTTATTGCGAGATAGGTGTTTATTATTCTGTTCCTGGCGTGCTGACTGCACTTACCTCAGGGGACTCATGTTATGCCTGTCCTTTTGAGTTTGGCTTACCTCGCTTAACATGATTCCTTCCAGCTCTTCCCACGAAGCGATGTGTTTCATGTGATCATCCGTGATTTTCAGTGCTGCATAGTACTCCATTGTGTTATGTGCCAGAGATTACTAATCCACGCATCTATCGATGGAAACTTAGGCTGTTTCCACATCTTTGCGATTATGAATTGTGCCACAATAAGCATTGGAACACAGATGACTGGTCATGTTTTATTTGTTGCTTCCACCGGGTATATGCCCAGTAGAGGGATGGCTGGGTCATAAAGTAGATCAATTTCCATTTTTCTGTAAGTATCTCCAGATTGCTTTCCACAGTGGCTGTACAAATCTACACAACCACCAGCAGTAGAGAAGGGTTCCTACTTCACCACAGCCCCTCCAACACTTGTTGCTCTCTGATTTGCTGATTTGGGTTAGCCTCAAGGGTGTTAGGTGGTATCTCATGGTTGTTTTGATTTGCATTTCTCTTACGGCTAATGACCTGGAATACTTTCTCATATGCTTATTGGCCATCAGGGTCTCCTCCCTAGTGAAAGCTCTTTTCAGTTCTTTTGCCCACTTCCTTAGGGGGTTAACTGTTTTCCTCTTTCTGCAGGTCATGATGGTGTTGTAGATTTTAGTAATGAGCCCTCTGTCTGATGTCATTACTAAAAATCCTCTCCCAGCCTGGGTCTTGTCACCCTCTTGGTGAAGTCTTTCGAGGTGCACAGTTGTTCTATTCTTATTAAATCCCATTTTTCAATTTCCAGTTCACCAGCGTGAGTACCCTTCCCTATTGCAGTAAGCCTATGAGTTCCCAGGGCCAGTGCTCTGAGGTTAGTCCCGATTCCCTCCTTGATGGTCCTGATGGTTTGGGGTTTAACTTATAGGTCTGTGATCCACTTTGAGCTTATTCTTGTGCATGGGGTGAGGTAAACATCTTGTTCCATCTTTCTACATGTGGATATCCATTGTTTCCAGCACCACTTGTTAAAAAGGGAATCTGCTTCCCTCTTGATAGTTTTGGGGCCCTTGTCAAATATCAGTTGTCTATATGCTGATGGTTTTATTCTTGGGCTTTCTATTCTTTTCCACTGGTCTGCGTGTCTGTCGTTGTGCCAGTACCACGCTGTTTTGACCACTGTAGCTGTGTAATAGGCATTAAAATCGGGTAAGGCGAGTCCTCCAACTGTGTCCTTCTTCTTGAGTAATTCTCTGCTAATTCTGGGTTTCTTCCCTCTCCATATGAAATTGGTAGTCAGTTTTTCCAATTCTTTGTAGAAGGTTGGTAGTATTTGAATTTGTATAGCATTGAACTTGTAAAGTGCTTTAGGTAGGATTGTCATCTTTACTATGTTGAGCCTTCCAATCCATGAGCATACCCGCGGGGTTTCTTATGGTAGATCTATCATATTAAACTCTACGTTATTGCTGTTGGTTCCAACCCATAGACACTCCGTCAACAACGCAATACAACGCTGTGCCCAGTCTTTTCGCCAACCTTACAACCACTGCTTCTGTTTGAACCTATTGTAGCCGCAGCTGCATCACTCCATCTCCTTGAGAATCTTCCTCCGTCTGCACCTCCTTCCTCTTCTCACATTCTGGTAGCATCAGGAGGGTTTCACGTTGAGCTGCTAACCCCAAGGTCATTAGTGTGAAACCACCAGCTGCTCCTTTGTCTTTCTACTCCCAGGAAGAGTTACCTTCTCCGGAAACCCACAGGGGCAGTTCCGTTCAGCTCATAGGGTCTCTAAGAGTCAACACTGACTCGATGGCAGCGCAACGTCCTCCCTCCTACCACCCCCTGCGGGCTGGTGGCAGGCAGCCTCCTCTGGCCGGCTGTGGCATTCTGGGTAGTCTCGCCAGGGCCCGAGGGTGGAAGCGGCATGGCATCTCCAAGCGCCCAATTCACGCGCTGTTTCGCTATTTCTCCACACCCTCTTGCAGCGGCGCCCGACCTGACGGCCTTCGGAGACCCGCGCCAGTTCTCGGGCCTGCCTTCCATCTCGGATCCGCGCATGCACTACCCGGGCGCCTTCACCTACTCACCAACGCCCGTCACGTCGGGCATCGGCATTGGCATGTCGGCCATGGGCTCGGCCACGCGCTACCACACGTACCTGCCGCCGCCCTACCCGGGCTCGTCGCAGGCGCAGGGGGCCTTCCAGACGAGCTCACCCTCCTACCACCTGTACTATGGCGCCTCGGCCGGCTCCTACCAGTTCTCCATGGTGGGCGGCGAGCGCTCCCCGCCCCGCATCCTGCCGCCCTGCACCAACGCCTCCACGGGCTCGGCGCTGCTCAACCCCAGCCTGCCCAACCAGAGCGACGTGGTGGAGGCCGAAGGCAGCCACAGCAACTCGCCCACCAACATGGCGCCCGCCGCGCGCCTGGAGGAGGCCGTGTGGCGGCCCTACTGAGGCGCGCGCGCTGCCCCGGTCGTCGGGGCACGGCACCGAGTCGCCCGGGCTGCGCATGCGCATGCCCCGCGCACCCGCGCGCACGCGCCTTGGGTTGCAGGGCTCGGCCACCGCCCGGGGGCGCGCGCGCTGCGGGGAACGCGACCGAAGGCGCGCACGCTTCTGTCGCCCACGCCATTCGCAATTTCTGTGGGCCCCGCCCAGCGCGACCCAGCCGGCCAACAGGAAGATTCCCAGAGGGAAACTGTGAATGCTTCTGATTTAGCAATGCTGTGAATAAAAGAAAGATTTTATACCCTTGACTTTCACTTTTTAACCAAGTTGTTGATTCCAAAGAGAGTGGAATTTGGGGGTGGGGGTGGGGGGGTGCAGCTCATGCAGTTTGATATCTTAAGGCATATTTTAATGTTCTTACGTTCTTTGCCGCACCTTATGAATTGCAGGATGCATATTTGCATTGGGGTGGTTTTTATTTTTATATACATATGAAAACTTCAACTTGCTTTTTTTTTTTTTGCTTTGACAATTGAAAAACAGAAAAGTATGATTCCTTTTTCTGTAAGTTCTTATTTAACTTTTCTTTTGGACTTTTGTGTAGTTTTGTTTTGTTGGGGTTTTTTTGAGACACGGCTACAGCTTTGGGTCATTTTCAACTACTGTATTCCCCACAAGGAATTTCTAGATATTTATGTATCTTGATGTTTAAACATTTACTTTATGTGTTGATAATTTTTTATTATTTAAATGTACTTTATATTAAGAAAAATATCAAGTACTACATTAAAAAAAATTGAGGGCGGGGGGGTTGGTAGTAGCCAAAGTTAAATGTATCACATTGAAGAAGGCTGGGGAAAAAAGGATGGGTAATGTGATCACTTGGTTATCTAGAATTATTGTTTACATTAAACTTCCTTTCATGTTAAACCAGTTGGTAGCTAATGCAGCAGTGGTTTTAATGGGCTTTTTAGGAGCTGCAGGTCACGCCAAGGATCAGAATTTTGGAATTTCCTGCCACGCGCAACACAGGGTCTCCCAATTGATTCTCTTCTGAGGTCAGTTCTAGTCCCAGGGGGCTCAGGTAGGTGCCAGTGACGGTGGCCAGGGACCCTTGAAAGAGTATTTATTTTCTGCCTAGGGGTTTGCTCACCACAGCTTCTTGATAAGGTAGGCCTTCCTTGTCACGGTGAAACACCTAAATAAGATGTGTGGGGAAGTACCCACACATGGGAACCAAATGAATGAATTTAGGGGTTCTTTTACTGCTCAGTTCTAGATAAGTAGATCACCAATCCCCAGAGTTCAGATTACTTTAGCCTCATTTCCCTACCCTTCAACATGTGGCTATCCCACAGGTGGGGAGTGGAAGGGACTAGACCAGGTGCCTTTGAGGAATGGTCCCCAGCTATAGTTTTAGAGGGTGATGCTGAAGCAAGTCTAGTAAGTCATTGACCTTTTGTGTGCCTTGACAGTCTCTTTGCATTGCTTCCACCCAGACTGAGAGCCTGCCCTGTGGGTGTGTGTACTCAACACTTGTGCCCAGCATGACAGGAAAGGTGTGTGTCGCTGCTGCCCAGAGCTATGATCCAAATGTATCCGATGTCACTGTAGATTCTATGGCACTAATTTTTTTTGGAGGGTTTGATCAGAATCCAGTTATACGGCTCAAAATACTAACTGCTGATTTTGACGTGTGTGTGCTTAAAAGGATCTGGTTGTTATTTAATGTACCTCTTAAATTAGCTGAAGCAATGTCAGGTCAACTCAAGAGTATTTGAAAGCAGGACTTCAGAACAGTGTTTAATTTTTATTTTAGAAATTTAAGGATTCAAATTAGATCTTTGGCTGCAGGCAGCAAAACAGCTGGACTTATTTAAAACACCTTGTTGTTGAGTTTTATATATATATTGACTTTGTTTTACACAGATGCAGTAGCACTTTGGTAAAAGAGTTAAAGAAGCAGCTTGTGTTATATCAGGTCATTCTTATCTAGAGAGGGAGGGCAGCTCTGGGAGGATCACAGAGCATACTCAAATTATTGTACTCAGAATGCTCCCTCCACAATTCAGTTGCATGTTTTATTCTCTATTAACATTTTTGGCAGTAAATTAGCCGTCAATTGTCCAAAACATTTTTAAACTTTTTAGATACAAAAAAGAACCACTAGCGCATTTCCTCCAAATTGAACTTGGAATTTTCTTTTCGCCACATACTGCCACAGCTGACCTTAACTGAAGGCAGCGGAGAGGAAGAACTTGCCAGTTCAAGTCTGGGAAGATGTCCAACCCAGTCCCATCCTAATGCCCAGCAGAGGGATCCTGAGTTCTCCCCTCCAACCTTGCCACCCAAAGTCATGCGTGGAAGGGCATGTGGCTGCTTCTAAACCCCTTCCTTGGCTTGGCCACTCGGCTTTGCAGACCCTCAACAGCATCGACTGCAAATTAATGGTGCCAGAAAGAACAACGAAAACAAACCTTGGTTGTTTTAGAGATGGGTCTCACATTTTTTTCCTCCACTTGAGAAATCATATTGATTGTTTTCAGGTAAATAAAGGTGTCCTATTTATCCGTGAGCGTGAGATCCAATAACGTAAGCAAATGATGTAAAAACCCGGTGTATGTATCTAGCAGCATTGGTCTAGAAGAGAGCAGATAAGCCACTTCTGCTTATTCATGCCTTGCCTTATGAATTCAATACAGACACCTCTTTCGGTTTGTTTTTCGTTTGCTCCCTTAAGAATCTCTCTCTCCCTCACTCTGTTAAGTTCCACCTTTTCTCCATTCTCCAGCTTTCTCTAAGGAGTGCCCCCCGCCCCCCAACACACACACACACACACACACACACACACACACACACACACACACAAATGTCCCAAACACCAGGCGCTCCAGTTCCACAGCATGCACACAGGCCACCTAGTGAGTCAGCCTTTCCCCTGCGTATGCCTGTCTTCCAGCACAGCAGTGGCTTTGCCAACCCTCTGGGCCGGCTTGCTGTCCAAGTGCAGCAACAGAAGCTTTCCCAGGCAAATTACAATCAGGGAGTAAATAGACAGCCTTTCTATTGCCTACGGTTTCTGTGCAGATAAACAGAAAAACGGATTAGAAAGGAAATGAGTGGTTTCTCTCAAATGTCCTGCAATTTAGGGTTGCAGATCTCTGTCTTGAAATACCTGTTTCCTGGGGACAGTCCGTCCTGGTGATTTTTGCTGTTGGTGGCTTTGGGGGGTTTCTTGGGTTTTTCTTTGAGGAGGAGTGACTTAGGTTTGGAGTCTTTTATACAGGAAAAAAACAATCAGTTTAACAATAATCTCCAAGCTTTTTTACATCCGAACAAAATGCCTTTTTGTTTACCTACAATATACAATTGTTTGGGGCTTTTTATTGGTTGGTTTGGGTTTTGTCTCCCCTCCCATTAGATCAGTATTGTTAAGGCTGATCATTGGGCTTTTTTTCTTCCAGAAGAGTTGCATCAACAGAGTTAATTGTATTTATGTATGTAAATAGATTTTAAGCTTCATTATAAAATATTATTAATGCCTGTAACAACCTTTTTTCATTTTTGTGTGTTTCTAAAGATTTTCTTATGTTTGCTAAATACTGTAGAGGAAAAAAAACTCGCTTGTTTCTATTTTGTTTATTTTAGACTTAAAAATGAGCTACTTTTTATTCACTTTTGTAAACAGCAAATAGCATGGTTCCAATTTTAAAAAGAAAAAAAACAAAAACTGTTCACTTTTTGTTCTAGGAAAAATGAATGTGCAAAAAACAAAACAAACAAACAAAAAAACCCTGAAATGAAACTCTGTGTTGTGTTATTTGTGTTCTGGCTATATAAAAAAATCAATGGAAAATAAACTTCCAAATTGAAATGACAGCACACCACATCTATTTAAAAGCAACAATGGAGAGACACAGTTCTACTTGGCCAGGTGCCCACCTGCTGTCCGTTTTCTTAGCAACAATCAGGTCTGTCCCCCAAACTCACCACCCTGAGTCGATACCAGCACCTAGGGACCCTGTGGGACAGAGTTGAGCTGCCTGTGGGAGTTTCGGAGACTGTTTCCAGGAGGAGAGAGCCTCTTCTTTCTCCCTCAGAGCAGCTGGTGGTTTCAAACTTGAGACCTTGATGATAGCTGTCTCCAAAGTGTGTTGGAACTCTAGGTATGGGAAAGATAGACTACCCCAGAACCCCCGGCCAAGGAGTTTCTAGACACCACAAGTACATAGAAGAAGAGGCATTTCCCTGGACAGTCCATTGCTTTTGCACAGTCCACTGCAGGAAGCAGGCGGGCTGCTCTCCTCTGCTAAGGGCACCCATCCTTCCCAGCCAGAGCCACGGGGGCCTGCCTTTGTATGGGTTTCTTCTGTAAATCCAACATCCCAACTGCTCGACAAATACACACACCATATCAAATTGGTTTCATCTTTCTCTGTAAGGGCTAAGAAGGCCATTGATGTCCATTCTGCAAAGATCCTGCTGCCCCCACCCCCCACCCCGCCTCTCCCCCCAAAACTCTCCCCCCAAAAGCTTCCAGCTAAAGTCTGCTTTCTCTTCTGGCTGCTTCTACAGGGAACGGACCCTGGCCCTGGAAGCCAGTGTGACCTAGGGAAGGCCCGGGCCCCTACTGTTCCTTCTTGGGCTTGAAGGAACACTGAAACACGTATCTTACTGCTTGTTTTTAAAAATGAAAGAATTGCATCAGATTTGCTAGCCCAAAGTGAAAAGAGTGTGTTTGCAATCTGAGGCAGCTCGCCCTTATCAGCTGTCGTTACTATAAATTACAGGAGTCAGTTTGGGTTGTGGGTGGGAATCTTTAAAAAGATTCATCCTCACCACCACCAAAGTTCTCCTAAGATTTCAGTCTCAAGATTCCAACCACCTAAAGGTTCTGCAGCAGAAAATGACAAGAACTCAAGCAGGTGGGTCCCCAAGAAAGCGTCTAACCTAGGAAGTAATGGCTAACGCGCAGAGGCAGGAAATGAGTGGTGGGATGAGGTTAT